CTATAGTGGTTAGGTATGGCACTGGTAGACTGTTAGCCAACGATGGCTATAGTGGTTAGGTATGGCACTGGTAGACTGTTAGGCAACGATGACTGTAGTGGTTATGTATAGCAATGGTAGATTGTTAGGCAACGATGGCTATAGTGGTGTTTCATATATCAGTGTGAACTGTTACTGACCCGCATGTTTCTTCCCCCCACAGCCGGACTCACCCTTCGGTAAGATGAACTCGTACAAGAAGTTGGAACAACTAGGGGAAGGCTCCTACGCAACCGTCTTCAAGGGCATGAGCAAGTAAGCGGATATCTGATGTTTCACACTTCACTTCTTCCCTTTCTTCTTGCAGTCTTGTTTGCTTGTAAAGTCAAGTGCTGACCGTAGTTGTATATATGTATATAGATGGATATAGTATATCAAGTTATTCTATAGATGAATATTCTAGTCGTTATTTACAGACGCTCATAATATGTTCGTGATTTTATGGTCTCACACATGGATCTCCAATCGCACGGATCATGCGAGCATATCTGACATTATTGCTCCGTTACAATCGCCATATGATTCACTATTTACCCGGGGTTTCTTGATATAACTATTTACCGAGCTTAATGCATCGATGCAGTGATATGAAGGCAATATGTAGCTGGGGTAAATAATCTCAAAGAGATTGAGATTATTGTGAGATTATTTACCCCTATAATATCAAGAGCAGATAATCATAGGTTGGGTTTAACACACACGCGTACGGGCACGCACGTCCGCACGCACGCACGCATGCACGCACGCACGCTCGCACGCACACACGCACACACACATCTAATATATATTTGAGTTCGTATGTATCTATGTATGTATGTATGTATCTTCCCTATAGGCGGCCAAACCGCCCAAGCGATCTGGATGCAATTTTCCCCGGGGCATCTCTTATACCCGGGGAGTGTTACTAGATTAAAAAAAACCTGTCAAACCGTTAAACTCACCGAAAAATCCGTGAAAAACCCGTCAATTCGTGAATCTTCACACAAT